TCATCAATGCGTCTTGGCAGCAAGGCAAACTACCGCCCTCTTGGAAGAAAGCAGACATCATACCGATTCCTAAGCCGAATGAACCTGGCAATTACAGACCCATTTCCTTAACATCATGCGTTAGTAAAACTGCAGAACGGATGGTCTTAAATAGGCTACTGTGGAAGACTGGAGACCTTCATAAACACATATTTGGCTTCACTAGAGGTGTAGGTACTGCCAACTGCATAGCAACATTACTAGGAACAGTTAACTCGGGTCCAGCTATAGTGGTCTTCCTTGATCTGGAAAAAGCATTTGAACTTGCAAGCCCGCCAGCAATACTACACACCTTAGTTAAAAAAGGTGTGAGGGGGAAAATGCTAGCATGGATTCAAGATTACCTAAGTCACAGGTATGCCAGAGTAAAGTTGCAAGGACAAGTGTCGGACTACCACTTGCACGAGAATGGGACTCCACAAGGAGGAGTCCTCAGTCCTAGTCTTTTTAACATCCTTATGGAAAACCTTGTTACCATGTCCTTTACAGAAGGGGTTACATTGCTAAGCTATGCTGATGATCTAGCATTAGTCGTTACGGGTCCTTCACTTCTAAATAAAGCTCAAGGTGCTTTAGATCAAGTGACATCTGAATGCAGTGTTTTAGGGCTAAAAATATCTGCACAGAAGTCTAAGGCGATGAGACTAGGTGGCAAGGCTCCAGACAGGCACCTACGCATTCAGGACATTAACCTTCAGTGGGTTCCACAATATCGATATCTCGGAGTGTGGATTGATTTTAAGATGACATTCAATAAGCAAATTCAATATCTAAAGGAGAAAGCAAAGTCACGAATAAATATAATGAGAGCAATCACAGGGCCCCGTCTAGGAGCGGGACACAGAGTGTTGAGAATGTTTTACATACACGCCGTTCGTTCCCTGGTTGATTATGCAGCGCCTGCCTTACTCACTCTTTCTCCTGGTCAGTGGGCAAACGTTGAGGTTCTTCAAAATGATGCATTGCGAGTCATAACAGGTGCTCCCAGATGGACTAAAATCCTGAACCTAAGACTAGAGACAAAGCTAACGTCGATTGAAATAAGGGTAAAGGGGATTGCTGCGTGCATGCTGACCAAGATATTGACTAGACCTAGAATCAGTTCACTTAAAGATTTGATCACTGGAGCACTAACTCTGGACAGAAGAGCCTCCAATAGCAACAGGTGGACCCATTGTGCGATAAACGCCATCGATACGTTCGATATGGCAAACACAGTCACTGAGAGGGGTGTCGACGACATACATGCAGACTTTGTTATACAAGCCCCTTGGGAATCTCTGCCAGCAGACTTTCAGATTATGGCTCTTGACGGAAAGAAGAACCAGACACATCCTCATCTGCTACGTCACATTGCACAGATGCATATAGAAGCAAACATGGCATCCGACAGCTTCACTTACTTCACGGATGGGTCAGTAGACCAGCAGGGACAGGAAACCGGAGCTGCAGTTAAAGCAGGAAACTCTGTATATAGTTGGAGGCTCTCAAATGGGTGTTCGACTTTACAGACTGAGATGCTAGCCATTCAAAAGGCTTTGGAACATGCTCTTGCTGAACACCGCCAACATGTTATCGTCCATACAGATTCGAGAACCGCCATTGAAACCTTGCAACAGGAACACATATGTGATAACATCCATCTGATCACCAATGTCTTATCATTCATGCACACACTCCACCGACAAGGCCGACGGGTGCTTATCAACTGGGTGCCAAGTCATGTGGGACTATTAGGTAATGACATTGCAGACGAAGCTGCAAAACTTGCTACTAAGAGGAGGAATGTAGACATTTACATACCACCGAGTCTCTCCCAGATGAAGAAAGTGATTCGAAACAGAGCAATGCGAAGGCTGTACAGTGACCACAACACAGCAGTTGCAACATCAGGATCTGCGGGTTGGTACAAGAATTCCACCAACTACGAACCACTTAGTTTGATGAAAGGGGGCAGTAGAACAACAGAAGTGCACTTACATCGCATCAGGCTTGGATACCCATGTGCATGGGAAATAGGCTTACGGGTTCCGGAAGGTGAGAGGAAATGTCAACACTGTGGAGAAATGCCCGACAGACCACTGGAACATTATCTAACACAGTGCACAGTTACAAACCCGTTAAGATTTCACCTTCGATTCGACAGAGCAGAGGAAGTTGTTAAACACATATGGCAAAATCTTACTGAAGCGACCATACGGGTCATACATACTCATCCTCCGCCCAGGTAAACCAGAAACGAGCATCACTTAGTGGGCCAGCCAGAGGCTTAGGGCCCGCGCAGGATTATCCCTGCTAAAAAGAAAAAAAAAAAAAAAAAAAGTTGATAGTGTTCTCTTCTGCCGACAGATGGCATCAGCTGTGTTATTATTACTTCCGAATTCCCTTTAAACACTGATCTACAAATCCCTTGGCTTATGATAAGGTTTTATACCATTTATGATAAGTATTAGATAACTGGAGTTCCGCAATTACTTTTATTTATCAACTGTTCAGGATATCATCATATAACGTCTGGTTAGGACGTACTGCTCTCGATTGATGAAGATTAAGCCACCCAAGAAGTGGCACGGGCATGAATAGCCCGTAAATACTGCTCTCGTAATATTATTCATGGGGGAGGTGGGGGAACTATCAAGTGAAAGTGCCAAGCCATTACGACTATATAGCACTCGGAAGGGATCAGGATACGGATTTGGGATGGAACGGGGAAAAGGAATGGTGCCCAACCTCTTGGGCGGTACATATGCAAACAAGCCTGAATGGTCCCCAGGACTATATACAACTGAAAACTCACACCCCAGAAGTGACTCGAACCCATACTGCCAGGAGCAACGCAACTGGTATGTACAGGGATGCCTTAATCCGCTTGACCATCACGACCGGACAATAAGGAAGTGATAGCCGAAGCTATTTGAACCACTTCCCCGCCGGCACTCGGATGGTAATCTTGGGCATAGCATTTTATCAAATCACCTCATTCTTTGGGGCATCACTTCCTTATTGTCCGGTCGTGATGGTCAAGCGGATTAAGGCGTCCCTGTACATACCAGTTGCGTTGCTCCTGGCAGTATGGGTTCGAGTCACTTCTGGGGTGTGAGTTTTCAGTTATATACACATATATATGACAATGTCAGACCACGGAGGAAAATGAAACAGGAATTTCCTTAAGTACTTTCGTATATTAAATACATCTTCAGAAGGAAGATTGATTCCTTCTGAAGATGTATTTAATATTCGAAAGTACTTAAGGAAATTCCTGTTTCATTTTCCTCCGTGGTCTGACATTGTCACATTCTTAATCACGTGTTTATTTTCGTGATATACACACATACACACACACACACACATATATATATATATATATATATATATATATATATATATATATATATATATATATATATATATATATATATATATATATATATATATATATGTCGTACCTAGTAGCCAGAACGCACTTCTCGGCCTACTATGCAAGGCCCGATTTGCCTAATAAGCCAAGTTTTCATGAATTAATGTTTTTTCGACTACCTAACCTACCTAACCTAACCTAACCTAACTTTTTCGGCTACCTAACCTAACCTAACCTAACCTAACCTATAAAGATAGGTTAGGTTAGGTTAGGTAGGGTTGGTTAGGTTCGGTCATATATCTACGTTAATTTTAACTCCAATAAAAAAAAATTGACCTCATACATAATAAAATGGGTAGCTTTATCATTTCATAAGAAAAAAATTAGAGAAAGTATATTAATTCAGGAAAACTTGGCTTATTAGGCAAATCGGGCCTTGCATAGTAGGCTGAGAAGTGCGTTCTGGCTACTAGGTACGACATATATATATATATATATATATATATATATATATATATATATATATATATATATATATATATATATATATATATATATATATATATATATATATATATATATATATATATATATATATATATATATATATATATATATATATATATATATATATATATATATATATATATATATATATATATATATATATATATATATATATATATATATATATATATATATATATATATATATATATATATATATATATATATATATATATATATATATATATATATATATATATATATATATATATATATATATATATATATATATATATATATATATATATATATATATATATATATATATATATATATATATATATATATATATATATATAGATATATATATATATAGATATATATATATATAGATATATATATATATAGATATATATATATATATATATATATATATATATATATATATATATATATATATATATATATATATATATAGATATATATATATATAGATATATATATATATATATATATATATATATATATATATATATATATATATATATATATATATATATATATATATATATATATATATATATATATATATATATATATATATATATATATATATATATATATATATATATATATATATATATATATATATATATATATATATATATATATATATATATATATATATATATATATATATATATATATATATATATATATATATATATATATATATATATATATATAGATATATATATAGATATATATAGATATATATATATATATATATATATATATATATATATATAGATATATATAGATAATATATATATATATATATATATATATATATATATATATATATATATATATACAATACAATACAATTTTATTTATTTTTATATATATATATAATATATGTGTGTGTGTGTGTATGTGCAGAAATAATATTAATAAAACAATTAACATCGTGTAGTGTACTCTATATATCAAAATATATTACTTTGAAACCCATATCATTCACTAAAAATAATTGGGTTACTCTTATTACAAATTCGCTACTTTTAGACCGTCAGCTCGCTACTTTCAGCAATTTAGATCTGGCACCCGTGAGTGTGGCAGCATCAGTTAGTAACAGCGTAACGATGGCGGCGGTGAAGCTCTCTCGTCAATTCAGTCATTTCCTGCGTGTGGGGCCGTGGACGAGGGGCGCAGCGGCCGGCGTGACCCAGGTCCGCCACCATGGGTCACATTACCCCATTGATGACGTGGTTTTCGGTCTTACAGAAGACCAGCGCCAGGTAGGCTGAGCTCCGGCGGGCTGGGCTATGGTAGGCCTACCATAGATGGGAGATGTCTCCCGATAGTGGCACCTCCTGCCACTAACGGGAGACATCTCCCGTCACGCAAAGTGCAGTGGCACCTCCACAGATATCTAGTATCATCTATTGATTCTGGAAATGGCTCAAAAAGGCCTCCACTTACGGGCTATTCATGCCCGTGCCACCTTTTGGGTGGCTTAATCTTCATCAATCAATCCTGCCACTATAGGGTGCACTGGTCACCCAACATTTCCTTATATTCAGAGAATTCATTTTCAACTTAACTATTTGAAATAGATTTTTAATTATTACAGATATTTTTTTTCGTGGTCTATAAGTCTCCTTGAAGTTTTGCATAGCAGCAATAGTTATCATAGAGGTCAGTAGATGGATGGTGATGTGCTCCTGACATGGTGAACTTTTTTTTTTTTGCTAATGCCCAAGAAGGCAACCAAGCTTTTCTAAATAAATGCACGTAGTATAAAAAAAATACCCATTATGGCAAACTGTTGCCAAAGGTCTCGAATGTCAAAAACATCCACAAAAAAACTTTTTTTAAAATATTACAAGGCACATTAAATCTCTCGCAGGCGACAGGAGCGCCATCGGCCTACCTCTTGAGAGTGACTGGAGCAGTTTAGGCGGCGGAGGTAGTGATAAATGTACAGGAGTAAACACTTTTCTCGGTCTTTGACCGTACTTGATATTTGGGCAGATATGGTGGTTTTATGGTAATGTTAATTTAAAAAGCAATTTTACGTGGAAAAATTAATTAGGAAGTTTCAACCTTAAACTTACTTAAAGTACTTAAACGTTCTTTAATCCAGCAGTACTTAAAGCTGTATTAAAGTACAGTACAGTATATGATTTCCAGTCTTAATAAAGTGTACCACCAAAATATATATTATATCCGAATCCTAGGTTAAACACTAATTTTCATTTATTTTATTTTAATATAATTCATTGCTAGAATACTGTATATGTATTAGTGTACATTATTTTGTAATTAGTACTTTTGAAAACATTTGTGAAAATAACTTAAACTACTGTAATTGAAATTTTTATTCAAATTCAAAAGTGTTTATACAGGCTCACCCATTATCATAGTCATTTTGTTATCTTATGTCTGTCAAGTTCAAGCAAGTTTTATTAAGACAAGAAAGAAATACATCTCAAAAGGATAGAGTAGCTTAGGCTATTTCTACTCCCCCCCCCTATGTCTCTCACCATCAGTTTATTAGCATATACAGTACCCATTTATCATATACAGTACCCATTTACCATATACAGTACCCATTTATCATATACAGTACATAGTAATCATACCTGTACACCCATTAACCTATACAGTACAGTATTAATCATTCACCCATTTATTAACTTGTACCTATCAATCATACACACATTTATTCATTAAATTATAGCACTTGTCACATCATATTTATATTTCCTAAAATATTTCTACATGCTAGTACTGTACTATCTTAAATATTTTGATAGTTGCGGAAGACTGTCTTCGATTTCTGCCAGAAAGAATTGGCTCCGAAGGCAGCAGACATCGACAAGAAGAATGATTTTCCAGAGTTACGGGTAAGATAATTCGTAACTGAATTGCTTTACGTCATAAACCGCAGTCTTATGAGCAGTATAAGCTAGGCCAGGGGGTGGGGAACCTGTAGATTTTTATGGTTCTAGTGTGACCTTCCAAAGAAATTTAAATTTGTATAACTTGATCTGTAAATTTGTTTTTGGCATACGTATTTGAATGTGTGGTGCAGAGTGTGTGTGTGTGTGGCCTTGTGAAATCTTGGCTGAATAAAATATGGTTTTTGTATGACAAAATGTTCCCCACCTCAAGGCTAGGCCTAGTCTTTCTAACATGTATTATATGGAATGCAATATGCAATTTTGTCAAATCAAATTTATATGCATATACAGTAATATTAAGTCAATTGTGATAATACATACTAAATAATACATAATTGTGTTTTATAAATGTGCATACTTAATACTGTTTGTTCATACAGTGATGCTATGTATAAGAAGAATGAGTGAATGATGGGGCATCACTGTAAACTATAAAGTGAAAAAATTTTCACCTCTAGAAAGAAATAAAAGAAATGTTCGGTTCGTAGTGCAGAAAACATGTCACAATAATGTGGCTGAAAACAAATGCAGTAACCCAACCCAAATACATTACAGTACAGTATATAAAATGTAATTGACAGTGTTTTGGTCCATTCTGGATCTTTAGGACTTGATTAGGGTCCAGGTTGAACTGAAACATCATCACTTTTATTTAGTTTCATGTGAGAGTTGGACTATTTGATTAGTAATGCAAAGGGTATGTCGAGGTGCTATAAGCACAGTTAGAGAACACTGAAAATCAGAGATCTACAGTTCAATATCCTCCCAGGAAGTACAGTATAAGAAATATTGCCAGAACAAAAGTGGACTTTAAGAAAAAATGAGACATTATTCTGCAAGAAGTGCCAGACCAACTGGGTTTTAGTGGATACGTGGACCTGCCGGCCACTGCAAGCAATAATTTGTTGGACCAAGCTCTCACGAGTAGAGTGCCAGGCTTGGTCAGTAGAACTCCTAGAACCCACTCGAGGTATAGTCCAAGTACTGTATACTGCTGTAATGCATGTTAAAGAATGCGAGAATGTGCTTGGTTGGATGAAAAAGTAACAAATGCAGTTGATGATAAGAAAAAGGAATAGAGTACTGTAGTCTGAAAATCCAAATTGATGTGAAACAATAACAAAAGAAGTACTGTAGGTCTATGGTAGTAAAATATATGTAAAGATTAGTTGTGCAAAAAAAAAAAAAAAAAAAAAAAAATTGTAAATTTTGTTTAAAGGAGTTTGAAAAGTTGAATAGACACAAGGAGACAGGTGCAACACTCGTGTAAATATTTTAGATCAGCATGGGGAACTGTTTTGGAACTGTAAGACGGTTTTATAATTGCATAGTTTTACTGTGTCGTTCTTTCACCCCACAGGAGTTTTGGCGTAAAATGGGGGACTTGGGATTATTAGGAATTACAGCAAGTCCAGAGTTTGGGGGCTCTGGCATGGGATATTTAGATCACGTCATTGTCATGGAGGAGGTCTCTCGGGCAGCAGGTGGTATTGGACTGTCATATGGAGCACACTCTAATTTGTGTGTTAATCAGATCAATATCAATGGCACAACAGAACAGAAGGAGAAGTATCTTCCAAAGGTGAGTAGCATTTATCATACATAGACTCAATACAAATGTAATTACAGTACCAATGTAGTGAAGTGTTTCAAGGTATCACTTCCACTTATTAAATGAAACAAACGTTTTGGCACAGTCATGAAAACAAGTTAGAGAGGAATAATATTCATTGTACAATTTCCAAATGTTTTAAACTGATGCTCCACAGCTTTGTTCGGGGGAGTATTTTGGAGCACTGGCCATGTCTGAGTCAGGATCTGGCAGCGATGTGGTATCCATGAAACTCAAGGCAGAGAAAAAAGGTGACTCGTACATCCTTAATGGTAGCAAATTCTGGATAACAAATGGACCTGATGCTGATGTTTTAGTGGTAAGATATTCAAATAAAGCCTGTTGATTAATACTGTATAAGGATTGTAACAAATTATCTGAAGGTTATTTAATATTGGGTATGTTAGAATATCAATTGGAGCAATGTAGAGGGGATTCGAACCATTCACTTGGGTTCTCTTGCACCTCTCACCTTGCTGAATGCATTGCTCCCATTTATTTTCTCATTGATATATCACATTAGTGAGATTCCCTTTTGTAAAGGGTATTTTGTTATAATTTCATACAAATCTTGATCAAGATATTTTGCCTTAGCATAGTTGGCAACTTAGCATAGTTGGCAAAATAAAACTTGCTGGCTAGATCTGTAAAAGACAGAATTTTATATTTTAATGAAAATTACAAAAATATTATAATTCCTGCATTATTAGCTCTATGGTACAGTAATCGTAATGCTCAAAATTTTGCTAAGGAAAAAAAGAGTTTAACAAAAATAAAAATGGCAATATTTCATGCCATTGTCAAACATTTTGAGGTGTAAATATTTTTAATCATGTATGGGGTTAGGGTTGTGGGCAACCCCATCATCCAACACTGATGGAAACTGGCCCATATTTCTGCAAGAAAGGGGTGGAAAGATTTGGCTGGGAAACCCATCTTTCTAGATGTCTCCCCCACAAAGAGCAAATTTACTCTCAGATTAAGGGCTTGTACCTGTTGGGGGTCTTATCAACAACAACAAAGGTAGGCTTGTATTTTTGTGTGTAGTGTGAGGGGGGAGCATCTGAAGAACAAGGGTAGACTTGTATGGTTGTGTAAGGAGGAGCAGCTGAAGAACAAAGGAAGGATTGTATAGTTGTGTGGAGGGGGAGTAACTGAAGAACGAAGACAATAACTCGGGGAGCCACCAATGAGACTCGCCAGAAAGAGGCACTCATTACAATTAGAGTAATGTGGAATTTTTTTCAGGTGTACGCAAAAACGGATCCAAATGCACACAAGCCACAACGTGGAGTAACAGCCTTCCTCATAGAGAAGGGCATGGAAGGTTTTAGCACAGGCCAGAAATTGGACAAGCTGGGCATTCGTGGTTCGAATACTTGTGAGCTCATCTTTGATGACTGTAAAGTACCAGGCAAGTTATACCCTGTTGCAATGTAATATCAATTGTACACTAGAATTGGGGTCCTTGTATGTATATATTATAGTCATAAAGTATAGAGGCAAAAGATTATTTATTTTCCTGTAATAGTACTCCAACTGTTAAAGGACTAATATTCCTGCAGAAAAATCTCTTAAGGGTAATTTTATCATTGCATACAAATTATATAACTAAAACTACACATTCCCTATTATAAAATATATTTGAATGTATATAGTATTGTTGCAGTATTTATGAATATGCTTCAATATATATTCAGTATGTAATGGGCTGATCCTTTCCCCACAGCTACGAACATCCTGGGTAAGATCAATGGTGGCATCTATGTATTGTTCTCTGGCTTGGACCTCGAGAGACTTATACTGGCTGGTGGACCTGTTGGGTACGGTATTTGCCTTTTAGTGCATTGGTTATTGGCTTTGTTAATGTGCCCTGTGCTGTAAATTTTCATAAATATTATTTGTTAAATGGATAAATAGATTATAAGTGCAACATTTGAAATTTGAGTTAACATCTGTTATTGCTTATTTTTGTTAGTTTTGTTTTGTCTGTTGTCTATACAGTACTATATCAAATTAAGGAGTAAAAAAATACTTTGCTAATATTGTTGTAAGCTTAGTGCTTTATTTTGTGTGAAAGGTATATACGGTACACACATTCTTCATGGCAAATACATTTTTCTGGCATTTCTTTCCATCCATTGTTTTCTTTGCTGCTTTTTATCCAGTTAAGAGATCAGTTGACTCATTCATTCATGGCAATACCCCTGCTGGGAAAATAATGGTGCTCCTTTGAAATAATTGACCCATGGCATTACCAATGCTGTAGAAATAATGTTGCCCCTTTCCAACCATTATTGGTTCAAGTCTTTACCTGTACTAAATATACCATCTTGCACAATGGTCTGGGTCTGCGGGCCACTCCAAACAACAACCTGTTGGACCAAATTATCACTTATTTTACTCAGGTAAGTCGACCTCGGGCTCGGGGTGTAGAAGAACTCCCAAAACCCTCTCTGGTATGCTCAGTGTCCCCATCACCACACTACTCTTTGAATAAATAATTATTTTCGTTTACCAATATTTGTACAGTACTTGTATATTTCTCCTGATTTTTCCTATGTTTTATCTTACCTGTACACTATGTTTGCTGAGGCCTAAGTCTTGAAAGAATGAGGCCTATAAAAAGCCTCATTCTCATTAGTCATTTTTTTTCCTGTACTCACATAATTGTACTCGCCTAATTGTGCTTGCAGGGGGTTGAGCTTTGGCTCTTTGGTCCCGCCTCTCGACTGTCAATCAACTGGTGTACAGATTCCTGAGCCTACTGGGCTTTATCATATCTACATATCTGTATGAGCTAGTTGTGACGGCCTCCTTTGTGTGATTCTCGTGCCAGCATGTTTAATGTTTTGATGTATTTATTTAACACTTGATGGTGTTTGAAATGTCTTATGATAATGCTGTTTATAACTACTTCCTCAAGATAGGGCATCTTCCCAAAGTGAAAAAAAATGTAGCAGAGGAGGTATGCATAAATGTGCGGTCAGTTTGGGTTAGAGGTATTGTTTCAAATAAAGATGTGAATTACGTTCTTTAGTGTCTTTGCATTGGAAATAATTTTCAATTTACAGATTGATGCAGGCAGCCTGTGATGTCGCTTTTGAGTATGTTCACATTCGTAAGCAATTCAACACAAGAATTGGGGAATTCCAACTAATGCAGGTTAGTCTAGCTTTTTTGTAGTGCAATAAATTGTACACTAGTTGGCATTCTTGGCCACACTGGTCATTAAGCCTATTGCCTAAAATGTTAATTCATGAAAGAATGTACAGTACTGTATTTATATTTTATGTATATTTACACAATATATTTATTCGGTTAGTAATTTATAAAGTGATTTCAGTGGTGGAAGATAGTGTATAAATCAGATATTTGAATGAGGAAAGCATGGGAAACAGAGTAAGATGTTCATGGCATTTATAGACTTTGGAGAGCCAAAAAGTCTATAAATGCCATGAACAGAGTTAATAGAAAAGGGCTTTGTCAACTCTATATATGGCATTGCACTACAGAGTTTGTTAAATTATGTTAAAGTTTATATGGAGGAAGTAATGTGTGTTAATGGTGTAATGAGTAACTGGTTTTATACAAGTGTAGATATATGCCAGGACTGTGCGATGTTACCTTAGTTACATTAGCAATGTCTGTGCAGGGTCTCCGAAGTAACGGAAATTAAGTGCGACAGGAGCCGGCAATTTAATCCTCTTGCCATAATTATTGAAAAATGGGAATAAATACACCATACCAGAAAACTGATTTATTCAGGGGGGGGATGAAGATCGACTGACGTCATTGACCATTAGCGATGTCTGTGCAGGGTCACTGAGATGACAAAATTTTGGGATGACTAGAGACGGCCATTTAATCCCCTTGAGCAAAATGGCAGGACCTAGGAGGGAGCCTTTTAATTTCCCTTTGAAAAATTATATATGATGGGAGGGAGCAGTTGAGAAATGATATGAAAAAAATGACCCTGGGAACTATGCAAGCCTGAGGGGGGGGGGGATTATTTTTTTTTAAATACCGCTATGAATTATGTGAAGAGCTGTTGGTAAAAATATGAAAACACCCCTATGACTACGTTAAGCTGCGGGTAAAAGCAAAACGGCTTCACGTAATCATAAATCCTACTACTGTACTATTAACACTTTCGCGCTATCTGGACGCGCCGGTGCGTTCGGTTTCGTCTAACGTAAACGCATAGTGGACATAAAGTTATGTCAACTTTTAAAATATTTGTATAAAATTCAATTTTAATCCGATTTCATTGGGGTTTGTTTCAAACGACGCGCCATGAAGTTCTCTTTCTCACCACTAGGCCGCCTGGCGCGTCGGCCTACCCGGTCACGTGACGGGCCCATTGTTTTCTTGTCACGTGTCGTGAGTCGATCACGCTCCCCTCACGCGCCAAACTCGAGCATTTTTACCCGTTTCTGTGTGGATTATACCCAATTACTTCATCAAAAATGGATCAAGGTCAAGGCCCAAGCACTTCTACGCCCAAGGAAGCCTCCAGGTCATCGAGAGTGGACAAAATAACCCAAATTTTTAAGAAGTGGAGCGGAGTGAAGCTCACACCAACGAAAATTCCAGGCCTTGTGGAGGATTTATCAGAAGCTGAAGGTGATGTAGAGGTATTGGAGGAAGATTTTGGAATCCACAACGATTATAGTGTACCTAGAGCTAGAGGGAATGATACGGCAACGAGTGATGAGGAGACTGAGGCCCTCACCGAGGAAGAGGAGGCACCGCGACCCCCTCCTCCTCCTCCATCTCGGCGCACATGTGGTGCATCTAGGCTACCTAGAAAAGTTGCTACCAGACATGTTACTCGTCGTAGGAACACACAACAAATTGCACCAAGTGATTCTGAAAGTATAAGTGATGAGGAAAGTGATGAGGATTCATTCGAGCCTGCTGAAAGGCGTACACGTACAGTACGTACTCGGCAGGCTGGGGCTGATGAGGGCTGGAGTCGTAGCAATACTTCTCCAGTTGTTGATGATTTTACTGGAGATCCTGGACTGAAAATTCCCAAGCCTACTAGTGCACTGGCTTATATTCAATTGTTCATCACGCGTGCCCTCCTTGAGTTCTTTACCGTTGAAACAAATTTGTACGCCTCGCAGTTATTCCGGATGGCCAATGAAAATGTATCGGATATTTGGACCCCAGTGAAGGTGAGTGAAATGTCGCGATTCCTAGGACTGTTCATATTGATGGGCATAATTAGGCTCCCAACTGTGAGGATGTATTGGCAAACAGCAAAGCCATGGCATGCTCGTTTCTTCAGCTTGTTCATGCCGTCCAGACGATTCCAGCATATAAACCAGTTTTTCCACACATTCAATACCAATGCAGTGCCCGTGAACAATCGTGATAAGTTGATAAAAGTGAGACCAGTGATGGATTACTTGAAAGAGAGGTTTGCTCAAGTTTACATCCCCAAGAAAGAGTTGTGTTTGGATGAGGGTACAATGGCATGGCGAGGCCGACTATCCTTCAAAGTGTACAATCCAAACAAACCAGACAAGTATGGTGTGAAACTTTATATGCTTGCTGAATCTGTCTCTGGGTACATATATGACTTTGACGTATACTCAGGTATTGGTAAGACGATAGTGGATACAGTAACGGGGTTGATGCAGCCTTTAGTGAACCAGGGTTACCATTTGTACATGGATAATTACTACAACTCGGTTACCCTGACAGAAACATTGAGAGAACTTGGGGTGTACACATGTGGCACAATTAGAATGCTACGTGGCGCCCCAAAGGTATTGCAAGCTCTAGCCAAGGGTAAACTTCCACTGGATACCACAGTATACCGCCGCAAAGATAATACCTTCATTCTCCTGTGGAAAGACAAGCGAGTGGTTTCAATCATTACCAACATCCACAATGCAGATACTCAGCGAGTTCAGCGAAGGAAGCGAATTCGCAACCGAGACGGAACAAGTGGAATACAACAGGTAACAGTGAACAAACCGACTGCAATTTGCGAGTACAATAAGTTCATGAAAGGTGTGGACCACTTCGATCAAATGGTTAAATATTACCATTTTACCAGGAAAACTCACAAGTGGACCAAAAAGATTACCTTTTATTTCCTGCAAATGGCATTGCATAATGCCTATGTTTTGTACAAATACAACACAACTGATCGAAAAAAGCTAACATTGCTACAGTTCCACGAAGTGGCAATCTGGGCCCTATTGCACTGGGACACAGAGGAGTGGCCTAAAACATCATCATCATCTCAACACTTGCGGCACGCTCCAGACATAAATGATGACACAGCTCCTGCCAATGCTGACGCCATGCCAACTCCCGGACCATCTGGTGTGAGGCGGCCTTTGTTCACTACACCACTTCAAGATGAAGCAGACAACGAATCTGAACCCGACATGTCTGCCACACTGCCAGTTGACGAAACTGTTTTGTCAGATGAATCTGACTCTCCTGCAACTCCTGTTACACCTCCAGCGAGAGGACCTGGCCGCCCTATTGTTG